TGGGGCTTACTAATCTCCCAAAGAATCTTCTTAAGCCATAAAAATTCTACAAGAATTACTAGCTCAAATGTCTGGCTTCCCGTCCACCTTTGCTGACAAATCTCGTATCTCCAGATACTTAACTCTTTCTTCAGATTATTTGGTTTCCTTGGCCAAAGGCTCACAAGGGCATGATTTAGTCTCTTTATTGCGGACAAGGACAAAATAAGGCAGCCTTCTCCATATGCCACACAGAAGCCAAAGCTTGTGTATGGACTTATGCCCCTGGGTTTAAATTCTAGGTTTCTCCCTTCCACTTTTATGAATCATTGGACATTTGGCTCTTCTGCTGATGCCCTTGGAAGGTGCTTGAGTTATTTTAGCAAAACAGTTATTAAGCAAAAGCACCCCTTCCTCTCCTATCAGATGCCTTCCTTACCGTTTAAGCTGGTTAAAAAAAAAATAGAAACATGGGGCAACTTAAGCATCAGTCAAACATACTTTTTTTCCTGAACAGCAAAGGTGATTAACAAGGAAGTCCTGGAGCACATAACATCAGACGTGTCGCTAGAAGGCAAAAATCGCAAAACAGCATCGCACATACAGGTAGAGCTGAAGGCAGGACAAGGAGCAACGGGTGGAAACTCATCAAGGAGAGAAGCAACCTAGAACTAAGGAGAAACTTCCTGACAGTTAAGAACAATTAACCAGTGGAACAGCTTGCCTCCAGAAGTTGTGGGTGCTGTATCACTGGAGATTGGACTATCATTGGTCTGAAATGGTTTAGGGTCTCCTGCCTGAGCAGGGGTTGGACTAGAAGACCTCCAAGGTCCCTTCCAACTATTCTATTCTATTCTAGTCTAGTCTAGTCTAGTCTTCATCCATTCTATTCTATTCTATTCTATTCTATTCTATTCTATTCTATTCTATTCTATTCTTCATTTATTCTATTCTATTCTATTCTATTCTATTCTATTCTATTCTATTCTATTCTTCATTTATTCTATTCTATTCTTCTATTCTATTCTATTCTATTCTATTCTATTCTATTCTATTCTATTCTATTCTATTCTATTCTATTCTATTCTATTCTATTCTATTCTATTCTATTCTATTCTATTCTATTCTATTCTTCATTTATTCTATTCTATTCTATTCTATTCTATTCTTCATTTATTCTATTCTATTCTTCATTTATTCTATTCTATTCTATTCTATTCTATTCTATTCTATTCTATTCTATTCTATTCTATTCTATTCTATTCCTTAATTCTATTCTATTCTATTCTTCATTTATTCTATTCTATTCTATTCTATTCTATTCTATTCTATTCTATTCTATTCTATTCTATTCTATTCTATTCTATTCTATTCTATTCTAAATGAAGTGTTGTAAGTGGAGGACTTCCTGTCTGAGCTTTTCCTCAGAAAGCTGACAATCCTATCATTTTTTGCTAGCCTTCTCTATTTTGGTGGCTCAGCCACGTACGCGTGCTGGAAAAGTCCTCCTGTTTTGGTCCTTTGGATATCCAATTTTTTTTCAGGCCAAAATTATAGTCCATGTAAAAAAAATACCCACAAAATGAACCCAGGGTCCACAGAAGCTTATGCACTTCTCCCCAGTTTTCTTCTGATTCCCGTAAAAATATATTTTCACGATATTTCTACATGTATCACCTTAGTTTAGCACTATTAAATGACCTCCAAAAAATTAAAAATTGTTATTTAACTTGAAGAGCCTTTTTAAAAAAAAATTGGCTCCAGATTATTGACAGGCTGCTGTTTATCTAGAAATGAGATGTGGTTACAGGAGCTTGACAGATTCCCTCCAGAGTTTTGCATACTTGGCTCCTAATGAATAAAACATTGTTCTAAGTTCGGCTTTCCCGAAGGAAAGAACCCAGCTTTTGCAATACTATTAAGAGAGACGGAGTGCGTGCATCTTCTTTGCACCGATTCTTAGAGTCTCAACATCTTTTTTTACATCGTGGTGACCAAAACTGGATGCAGGATTCCAATTGTGACCTTACCAAGGCTTTATAAAGTGGCATTAACACTTGATGTGATCTTGACTCTATCCCTCTTTTTAAAAATCCCTAGGGTTTTGTTTTTTTTCTTCCTTTCTCGGCCTTCTTTATCAATTCCTGGTCGGTCAGATGCCTGGGAACATCTGAGAACAAGGTGAAACTTATTTCGCAGGCTATTATGCTCTGGTAACTCTCCAGAGAAGGCTTGTGGCATTCCAGTTACCCTATTCTGGAGAGCTCCCATTCAAACTACTTGACTAGCTGGAAACAAACAAACAAACGCATTTTCTTTCTTAACAATCCTGCTGCAGTTTCAAAAACAACTGGGAAAATCAGCTGCCCTTCAGAAGTCAACCCAGAGTAGCTAAATCCATCTTTCTCAAGTTTAAATCCACCATGTCGGTTTGTTATGAAGCTAGAATGAGGCAAAGGTGTGTGTGTGTGTGTGTGTGTGTGTGTGTGTGTGTGACCATTTGCCTGGGATCTGTGAGCTAAGGTAGGGGGGGGGGGTAAAAAAAAGTCTAAATAAATAAAGTTAATTACATTGTTGACCGTGTACCTTTAATGCCATTAATCCAGCACCTGGGTGGCTGAGGAATCACAAACACAGTCTGTTTATTTTCCACGGAGAAGAGGAGATCGGTTTTCACCTTTCCTGGGGGCATTACAGTTAGTCCTTGACTTACAACGGTCCATTTAGTGACTGTGTCAAAGCTCCAACGGCGCTGAAAAAAAAAGCGACCTTAGGACCGTTTTTCCCCACTGGCAGCTGTTGAAGCCTCCCCGCGGTGACGTGATCAAAATCCAGAGGCTCGGCAACTGGCATGTACTTGTGACAGTTGCAGTGTCCCCCAGGGGGGTCACGTGATCCTCCTTTTGTGGCCTCTTGACAAGCAAAGCCGATGGGGGAAGTCAGATTTCACTTAACAACTGTGTAGCTAATTGAACAACTGCAGGGATTCGCGTCACAAACCTGGCAAAGCTCACTTAACAAGTGTCTCACTTAGCCACGGAAATTCTGGGTGCCGCTGCGGTTGTAAGTCCGAGGACCACCTGTAAATAGCTCAGCAACGCTAGTAGTTTTGAATGGAAACCACAAGACTTTATTTGGGCAGGAATGATGGCTGGCCTAGGAATGAAGTTGGCCTCTGATACAGGAGCGTTGCCAAACAGGGTTTCCAAAATCTTTGGGGCTGTTACTCCCGTTGTGCCATGCAGCCAGTCCTCAAGTTACAACAGCTCATCCAGTGACTGTTTAAAGTTACAACGGCATTGAAAAAAGTGACTTATAACTGTTTTTCACACTTACGACTGTTGCGTTGTGACCCACGTGATTTACATTCGGATGCCTGGCAACTGACTCCTATTTATGACGGTCCCAGCATCCCGGGGTCATGTGATCCCCTTTGGCTACTTTCTGACAAGCCAAGCCGAGGGCAAAGGCGGATCCACTTAACGACCAGGTTACTAACTTAAGAACTGCAGTGAGTCCCTGAACAACCGGGCCAAGGAAGGTCATAAAATGGGACAAAACTCACTTAACAAATGTCTCCCTTAGCAACGTAAGTTGAGGACGAGCTTAGAAAATCCAGTTTTGGTCCCCATGATGTAAAAAAGATGTTGAGACTCTGGAAAAAGTGCAGAGAAGAGCAACAAAGAGGATTAGGGGACTGGAGGCCCAAACATATAAAGAACGGTTGCTGGAATTGGGGGTGTTTTTATTTTATTTTATTTTATTTTATTTTACTTTACTTTACTTTACTTTACTTTACTTTATTTTTATTATATTATATTATATTATATTATATTATATTATATTATATTATTAGTTTAGTTTAGTTTAGTTTAGTTTAGTTTAGTCTAGTCTAGTCTAGTCTAGTCTAGTCTAGTCTAGTCTAGTCTAGGGGTGACATGATAGCAGTGTTCCAATATCTCAGGGGCTGCCCCAAAGAAGAGGGAGTCAAGCTCTTCTCCAAAGCCCCTGAAGGCAGGACAAGAAGCAACGGATGGAAACTCATCAAGGAGAGAAGCAACCTGGAAGTAAGGAGGAATTTCCCAACAGTTAAGAAAATTAACCAGTGGAACCACCTGCCTCCAGAAGCGGTGAATGCTCAAACACTGGAAGTTTTTAAGAAGAGACTGGACAGCCATTTGTCTGAAATGGTGTAGGGTCTCCTGCTTGAGCAGGGGGTTGGACTAAATGACCTCCATGGTCCCTTCCAGCTCTGTTAGTCTGTTAAGCTCCCAACAGATTTCCCAACAGATAGCTATGTTTTAATTATCTCCCAACCGATAATTATGGTTTAATTATAAGACACGTTGTCCCTTCCTCAGCAGGCATCCACACCGTGGACTTTTCTAACTCGCTTCCTGACCTTCTCACGCATTAGTTTCATCCCGTCCTGCGTTTTGTCCACCCTACCTCCAACAGGCACAGATACCCTGCGAAAAGTTGATGGGTTATAACAGGGTTGCTGTCCAAAGTCTCACTCCTTGCCAAAGAATTAGCAGCCTTGTCCCCTTGTTTCCAAAAGGGCTTCTTAAGGTAACGAGGCTTAACGTCTCCGTGCAGTTCAGGTAATTCTTTCTTTTCTTTTGAAGCAGATCAACCCCTCTCCAGAAACAACGCGTTTTATCTAGTCAGGGCAAGTCCAGGTTTTTGCACCATGGCTCTTTGTTTTTGTTCCCAATGTGAGAAAGAGGCATAATTTGCTCTGGCCAATTAGAAGCAGTCACCATAATGCTCAGGTGTGTTTTATTTTTATTTTTGGGCAGCGGATAATAATAATAATAATAATAATAATAATAATAATAATAATAATAATAATAATAATAATAATAATACAGTCCAGTCCTCTGCCTTGCCAAGTGTGGGACGAAAGTGACCCTTTTAAAATTAGCTGTCACTCCAGCGAGCTTTTCATGGGGGTGGAAAAGAAAGAAAGAAAGAAGAAAAAAAACAACCCAGCAGCTAAGGGATTATTAAGCAGCAGGTAGGCAGTGCCTTGAGAGTGATTTAGGAATGTGAGCCGGTAAAAAGTCCTGATGACAGCGGACTTTGCCCAATACCTCTTGTCTCTCTCTATATATATTGTGGCTCCAGCAGGAGACCTGTTGGAAACCTTCATTGTCTCAGAAGGAACAGGGAGGTGAGTAATTGGAGCTGCAGCTTTCTATCCCCTTCCTGCTTTCATGGAGACAGTATTTTATTTTATTTTTATTTTTGCCAGCTTCTCTTGCTTTTTATCTTTTTGATCTGATCCGATCTGGCTGCTGTCTTGTGAACTGAATTCAACAAATTGCAAAAGAAAAAAGAAAGAAAGAAAGAAAGAAAGAAAGAAAGAAAGAAAGAAAGAAAGAAAGAAAGAAAGAAAGAAAGAAAGAAAGAAAGAAAGAAAGGGAAAGGAAGGAAGGAAGGAAGGAAGAAAAAGGAAGGAAGGAAGGAAGGAAGGAAGGAAGGAAGGAAGAAAGAAAGAAAGAAAGAAAGAAAGAAAGAAAGAAAGAAAGAAAGAAAGAAGGGAGAAGGAAAGAATGGAGAGAAGGAAGGAAAGAAGGAAGGAAGTAAGGAAAAAAGAAAGAGAGAAAGAAAGAAAAGAAAGAAAGAAATGAAGGAAGGAAGGAAGGAAGGAAGAAAGGAAGGAAGAAAAGAAAGACAGAAAGAAGGAAGGAAGGAGAGAAAGAAAGAAAGAAAAAGAAAGAAAGAAAGAAAGAACGAACGAACGAAAGAAAGAAAGAAAGAAAGAAAGAAAGAAAGAAAGAAAGAAAGAAAGAAAGAAAGAAAAGGTTGTTGGTTTTTTTCCGGCTTGTCAAACAGGTGCTATATATATATAAAGGCAATGAGAATTGCTTTCATTTCAAAGAAGTAAAAATGGGATGTGTTGTCTAATTCTCTGGAAATGCTCTTCTTCCGTTAATGGGATCGTCGTTTTAGTAGACTTTTCGCCTTCAAGCTAGGCTTAAAAATAGATATTTGGGGGGGGGGGAGAGATAAACTTGCTTTTGATGTGGTGAGTTAAAGCGTGATGCCCTCCAAAAGTTTGTCCATAAGAAAAAGTCCAGTGAAACACAAAGTTTCACACACACCCCAAAACTATTAGATTACATCTTAACGCTTTCCTGAATTTGAACCTTACCGTTGAATCTTGTTGGAATTCTTTATTAGATTTGAGTCCACTGTGTGTGGTGTTTTTTTGTTTTTTGTTTTTAAATTGGGGCAGTTTTGAGGTTGACAAGCCCAGGACAGAATAATAAACATTGTTCAGGAGATGCTTCTAAATGCATCTTTCTTAGTAAGAATGGGCAGTGCTTTGAATTTAATAAATAGCTTCTTTGATGCAATTAAGATTACTCATTCTGTGTGTCGTCCTTCTCTCTCTCTTTCGGCTTCTGGTGACACGTCCATGAGATCAATTCACAGATCCTCACAGGGAGGGATGTGACAGGATCAGGAAAAACTCGCCCTTGTAATTTTTGGCTGCTCCTCCAAGCAGCTAATTTAAAATCAGCGCTGGTTCCATCATGCAAAACATTCTGTCAGCGATGACTTCATTAGGAAGTCCTGGAGGAAGAAAGGGGGAAAAAAAAAAAAGACAGGAAAAAAAGTTGTAATTAATGAGGAGGAACTAATTTTACTAGCTGGAGCTATTTGGCAGAACTTCTGTTTGAAGTTGTTTAACCTCCCTGTTGAATCTGTGGCTATGCATAAACCTTGGTTAAGTTTTGGAAGTATCAAACAGTTTGTAATTATGTTAACCACAGGGCTGCATCCTAGAAATTGTGTGTGGCCTGTGTGTTGCGGTGCTTCCTGTTTTGTGTATTTGCCAATTGCAGCTTTTTAAAAAACAAAAAATTAAAGTCAGCGGTAGACTGGTTTTAAATTGAGGAGATGGGCCGAAATGTTTTCATTTTCTATGAATGTCATTGAATCTTTGCCAGCCAGTCTGAAATTAGCCTTCACTGCAAAGTTGTGACATTAACTGGGCAGAAAACGCTTTATGGAGGAAATAGAACTTTTTTCCCGAAGGAAGTTGGGAATTGTACTTGATGATGGTTGATGGGAATGTTTTCACCAGGATAAAACATAATATAGGCAATGCAAAAGGCAATAATTTTGTATTTATTATGCAAGCTCTTTAACTGCCTCCAGTATGTTTGTAGTGAAATACTTATAATCTACAACTAAATCTGTGAATTAATACTACATTCTGCATCTTATTATATGTTTTGACGAGATAAATAACGACAGATAAAATTAAAAAGAGGTACAAATCAACTAAGAAATCCTCCTAAGATCTATTGTTTTTAAAGGAAGTGAACTACAGCAGCAAAATAAATAAATAAATAAATTTGGCTCTTATCCATAACTCTAACCTTGGAATCGTATCTAATCTAGCTGAAATCATAATTGTTACTTTACGATGTCTAAATAATAAGAGCAAAATACGAATATGGCATATTTCTAGCCCTGTTCACAGCTACTACGTATCTATTCCTGTTTTGTTTCATACGTGGTCACATAGGATTTGGCGATATTATAGATAATGGACAAGTTGTTATCCAAAAGTAATACATGGAGATAAAACTGCTGGCATTCTTAGAAGTAATGGATGAACAGGTGAGCTAAATGTCTGTGGAGATTCTCTGTCATCCAGCTCGTGATTGTCCTAAAGGTGCTTTTTCAAAAGGTTACTGGACTTCCTTGTTTTTCCTTTTGCTTTTCATCCCAGAAGCTTCTTCAGTTCTGACTGAACGGTGGAGGACGGAAGGATTTATAGTCTTTGCAGTCATCTGGACGTTAGTACTCTTTCTAAGAATCGTTGAGGCTACTTGCCTTCAAGATCACCTGGATAGAACAAATGGGTGTGGAACCATTTTGGAACTGCTGAAAGGACCGTGTTGTAGACAGGAGATAAGCAGTGTCATATCCCTCCCCCTCTATTGAGAAAGGGCTGTTAATGTTAAATTTAATGTAATGTGGGATTCAGACAAACCTCCAAGTGGCCTCAACGACTCTCTAAAAGAAGGCAAATGACCAGCTTTCTGCAAGAAGTATAAATCCTTCCGTTCCCCACCATCCAGTCAGAGCTGAAGAAGCTTCTGAGATGAGAAGCGAAACGTCTTCAAAGAAAAAACAAGAAAGTCCAGTTGCGTCTTGAAAAAGCACCAGTGAGGACACAGATAAACCTCCAAGTGGCCTCAACGACTCTCTAAAACAGTGGTTCTCAACCTTTCTAATGCTGTGACCCCATAATACAGTTCCCCATGTTGTGGTGACCCCCAAGTGGGTGTGGCCACCAATAAGAGGGAGTAGGACAGCTAGGGAAAAGGGAAAAAAATGGTGGACAGCGTGGTTTGGCGACCCCCGTGAAATGGTCATTCAACCCCAAATGGGGTCCCGACCCACAGGTTGAGAACCACTGCTCTAAAAGAAGGCAAATGACCAGCCGTCTGCAAGGAGTATAAATCCTTCCATTCTCCACCATCCAGTCAGAGCTGAAGAAGCTTCTGGGATGAGAAGCGAAACGTCTTCAAAGAAAAAACAAGAAAGTTCAGTTGCCTCTTGAACAAAGCACCTTTGAGACAATGAGTGAGCTGCAATATGGTGGCACAATCTGCAATGGAGAACAGCCATCACAGCACAGAGATAAATGTTCCAGCAAGAAAGTCTTCCTATATATATATATTTTCTAACATAGCCAAGGGCAGGGCGTTCACGTGTGCCAAACTATAAACCTTTTTATATTTAGGAACCTATCATGGTGTTAGACAGGGAACAGATACCATTCTATGCTTTTTCTAATAGGGAGAGTCGGGGGGGTCGTAACCAGATCAGATTGGCACACTAGAGCTATCCTGGGGGCATTAAACTGAGCTGTTAAGACGTGCTTTCCAGTCAACAAAGCTGACCCTTAATCTCTGCCCATCAAGCTGAATAAAATCACCTGTCCCAAAGGTGTTTTTTTTTTTTTCAGGAGGCAGCTGGACGATCTTGTTTTGCTTTGAAGACATGTCGCTTCTCATCCCAGAAGCTTCTTCAGCTCAGAAGACAAGAAGGTCCAGTTGTCTCTTGAAAAAGCCTCTTTGGGATAAACCACGACTGAGAGTCTCCATAGGCACCTAGCTACTGGTTATCAATTTTGTCGGCGTAGTGGTTAAGAAACTGGGAGGCCGTGAGTTCTAGTCCCACCTTACGCATGAAGCAGAAGGGTGTCCTTTGGGCCAATCACTTTCAAGCAGGCAAGATAGAGCTGGAAGGGACTTGAAGGTCTTCTAGTCCAGCCCCCTGCTCAAGCAGGAGACCCTATACTACCATCTCAGACAAGTGACTGTCCAGTCTCTTCTTAAAAGCCTGGAGTGATGGAGCAGCCACAACATCTGAAGGCAACTTCTGTTCCACTGGCTCATTGTCCTCACCGTTAGGAAGCTTCTCCTTAATTCCAGATTGTCTCACCTTAGGAAGATTACGACGGAAAAAGCATGCCTGAAAAAAAAAAAAAAACCAAACCCTGGCCTAGATATAGATAACCTGTTTTGAAATTCTCCATGGCATCACAAGTGATAAACAAAGTTCCATGGTTGGCCTGAAAAGACCTCTTTGATCAGGCATGAACATTGCTGGACAACTGGGGGGAATCATAGACTTTGTTTACACAGCTCTCTCGACTAAAATGGGGTCAGCTTATTAGCGTAGTAAAATATTTGTGCTTATCAAACAACGTGGCCAGCGTAATCCAAACCCTGGAGTTAAACTCAGCGATCGGTAGCTGCGTTGATCAAATTAAACAGTAGCACAATATGCAGTGACAACCATTTTCTGTCCATTCCATCTCTCTCCTCAGTTTGCTGGGATTTTGAAATAGTAAATGCCAGGTTTATCGACCCTTCCTTCCTGGAAAGAAAAGGCCAAATTAACTGGTTGATCGGTATGGTAAATTAACCCGTCAGCATATATAAAGAAGTTTTCACACGTTTTTGGTACAACACTAGTATCCCTCTTAAACATGGCAGGCTGTCCCACTGAACACCCGTTTCACACGGTGCTTGATTTTGTATTTCTTTAAAAATGTTCGTTTTTAAAAGAATTGGAGAGTTCTTAGTCGTTCTTTAAAATTCAAGAGCATTTTTTTAAAAAATTAAATATCAACGTAAC